GTGTCAGGGGGCGTCAGAACAACAGCGAAACACTGATCAGCACATCCCGTTTTTATCACACGAATCCACTTTCTAAGGGCGGTCTAGCGCGTACGTTTACTGGTACGATACAGTTCATTTGTCGTGGTTTGAAAATATATCAGGCGGTGCACAGCGGTTGTGAAATTGCACCGTTTTGAACCGTGACGCAGTACAGATTACTGCATTGGATGAACTGTAATGTACGAATAACGTACGCGCTGGACCCGCCCTCTCTTCCTCCTCTAGTTCTGTGCTTCTTCAGAAGCGAGGGTGCCCGGGGCACCCCAGGGAGTGCAGCAGGCAGGAGGGGAGCCGAGGGTGCCCGGGGCACCCCAGGGAGTGCAGCAGGCAGGAGGGGAGCCGAGGGTGCCCGGGGCACCCCAGGGAGTGCAGCAGGCAGGAGGGGAGCCGAGGGTGCCCGGGGCACCCCAGGGAGTGCAGCAGGCAGGAGGGGAGCCGAGGGTGCCCGGGGCACCCCAGGGAGTGCAGCAGGCAGGAGGGGAGCCGAGGGTGCCCGGGGCACCCCAGGGAGTGCAGCAGGCAGGAGGGGAGCCGAGGGTGCCCGGGGCACCCCAGGGAGTGCAGCAGGCAAGAGGGCAGCCGAGGGTGCCCGGGGCACCCCAGGGAGTGCAGCAGGCAGGAGGGGAGCCGAGGGTGCCCGGGGCACCCCAGGGAGTGCAGCAGGCAGGGGGGCAGCCGGGGGTGCCCGGGGCACCCCAGGGACAGCGTGCAGGAGACAGGAGGGCAGCCGGGGGTGCCCGGGGCACCCCAGGGTACGCAGCAGGCAGGGGGGGGATCGATGGACGACCGGGAACAGCAGTTGGAGGAGTGGTGCCGACTTTTGGAGTTTGATACCCCCATGGCGACTGCGGAGGAGTCAGAGGCGGACGGAGAACCACCCAGTCCGCCTTCCCCATGCCCCCGTTTCCCGTGTGACACGTGTTTCCACACGTTCGCCACGAGAGGGGCCGCTGCGAACCACATGAGGGTATGCCGGGCGGCTGAGGCGGAGAGACGCGCGCAGGCACTTGGCTCGATCCCGTCTCTGGTGGAGACCGACACACAGGAGCGACCGACGCCGCGGGAATTTGGGGACGAGGCGTGGGCAGGGGTTAAGTCATGGGAGTGGGAGGCATTTTTCTGTGTGGAGGCGGTTGGAGGGAGGACAGTGCGCCGGATCCCGCAGCGGGCCCGGTCCGGGGTCTTAGACGCACTCTGTTGCATCTTGAAGCGGCTGAAGAGCCGACCGGGAGATGAAGCTGCTACCCTCCTACTCCTGGCGTTTCCGCGCCTCATCCTAGCCGTGCCTCCCAAGCCAGGCATAGGTCAGAAGGCGCTGATCATAGAGCGGCTGGGGGCCTTCTGGGAGGGGAGGTGGCGGGAGTTGTTCGACGCTGCCATGGCGGCGGCACGGCCAGCAGTTCGCCCACTTGCCTACACGTGCTCTGACCAGGACCCGGAGGCCATCCGCCTGTCACGGTGCCGATCTCGGTGTAAAGTGGGAGAGTGGAGCCGTGGTTTGGCTTGCCTCACAGCAGGAGAGTTGGCTCGACCGTCTGAGGCTATGGTGCAGTCGCTGCGAGGGAAGCACCCAGCTAGCAGTGGCGAGGTACCACCGTGGGTTCGTGAGTTTACTGTCGACGCTCCTCAGCGGCCTCCACTCACGACCGACATCCTGGCTAGAGCTATCCACACAGCTGCTCGCGCCTCAGCTGCAGGGCCATCGGGATGGGTCACAGAGCATCTGCGCGACACTTTCCTCACGGAACCTTCCTGCCTCTCCCACCTGCTGGAAGTGTTCAACCAATGGGTGGCGGGACAGGTCCCCGAGCGAGCTCGGCCCTGGCTCGCCGCATCCAACCTAGTCGGGCTTTCCAAACCCAACGGTGACGTCCGGCCGGTGGCGATCGGGGAGGTGCTTCCGCGTATCCTCGCTCGAGCTCTCTGCATCTCGCTTCGCCCTGTGATGGCTTCTTATTTTCTGCCGTGTAACCAGCTGGGAGTGGGCACCAGGGCCGGGGTGGAGATTCTTACTCATTCTTTCCGGTCAGCGCTGGCCACTCACCCCGACTGGTGTGCGCTGCAGATAGATGTCGCGAACGCCTTCAATTCGTTTCATCGCCACGCGATGTTCGAGGGGCTGAAGGAGTCGCCTTTCTCAGGAATGATCCCATTCTTGCGTGTCTTCTATGGGACACCTAGCGACCTGTACCTCCGAGCGGGCCCTTTCGTACAGAGTCTTGAGTCGGCACGAGGATCGCGACAGGGGGACCCGCTCGGCCCTTTTCTTTTCGCTTTCACGCAGCAGCAGGTGCTGGGGACGGTGACTAGAGAGTTCAGGGACCTACTTTTCTTGAGCTATGCAGACGATACCTACATCCTGGGACCAGCGGCTAGGATTCTGGAGGCTTTTGGGGTGCTGCGGGAGAGGTTGGAGTGGGTGGGGCTGGAAGTGCAGGCGCACAAGTGCAGGTTTTGGGAGCGTGGAGGTGGGGATATGGAGCGGGCATTGCCTTTGGGGATGCAGCGGGAGGAGGAGGGTCTCACTGTGGTGGGCGTGCCTATTGGGGAGGAGGATTGGGAGGGGGCCCGATTACGGAAGCGGCTTCGCGAGTTGCAGGCGCCATTGCCGTGGCTCCCCCTGCTCGACCACCCCCAGATGGCCTCGCATCTCCTCGCTATTGCAGTTTCAGCACGGCCGATGTACCTGGCCCGGACTATGCCGCCGCGGCCGGAGGTGGTGGAGGCCTTTAGAGAGTGGGACAGCTGTCTGGAGGATTGCTTTGAGCAGCTTTTCCCCCCTGGCACTTGGGAGCAGGACCCCGGCAGGTCTAGGCGCGCACGCATGCAGCTGCATCTCCCTGTGCGCCTCGGAGGGTTTGGGATCCGGGCGGCGGCCTCTTTGAGTCCGCTCTCCTATGTTTGTGGGTGGGCGCAGGCCGCACGGGATATTGCACATTTGGGGGTGGCGGGCGAGGAGGCGATGTTCGCAGAGTACCTCACCACTTCGGCGGGGGCGGAGCTTCTTGACCCGTGGTTTGCCAAGGCCATTGAGCAGTTGCCCGCGACTATACGCCAGGAGCTGCCGGACTTACCCCTGTGTGTGGCGGCCCCTCCTCTTCGGCTTTTCCAGGCGCGGCAGCGGCAGTTGGCTGTTGAGGAGCTCCAGGCACTCCGCCGCTTGGCTCGTGACGATGCCACCCTGGCCCGTTTCACATCCCTTCAGGGCCCGGGGGCTGGTGCATGGGTTTCGGCAGTTCCGGCTCATTCAGATCTCACATTCACTGCAGCGGAGTGGGGCATTGCTGCTGCTATACGGCTTGGTCTCCCAATCCAGCAGCTGCAAGTGGCGGGGAGGTGTGTTTGTGGCACAGCGTATGATGACCCAGCAGACCCGCATCATGCGCTGAGATGCAAGCACCAACACGGTCCATCTCGGGTGCATGATGAGGTGAAGTTTGCGGTGGCAAAGATCGCTAAGGCGTCAGGGGGGGTGGTGACGATGGAGGATAGTGCGGTGCTGCCGGGGAAGCGGGTTGACGTAGCGGTGCGACGACCAATGGCTGGGGAGGCTCATGCTTTAGAGATTAGTGTCGCGGACCCGCTATCACTGTCTCCATCTCTGCTAGGGCAGTGCGGGCGGTCTATAGGCGTGGCGGCAAAGGAGTGGGAGCGTCGCAAAACGGGGGATTACGCGCCTCTTCTTGCACGGAACCGAGGCGTGCAGTTCACCCCTTTGATAGTGGAGACGTGGGGGTGTCTCGGCGGTCGCTTCCGGCGGTGGCTTCGACAGCAGGGGGACGCGCACGTGGGGCTAGCTGTGTCACGGGGGGCTTGTCGGGAGGATGACACTTCGTTCTCGGCTTACCTTTTGGGGTCTCTGAAGGCGCTCATCGGAGTGGCGTTACAACGGGCGCAAGCTCGTGTCATCCTGCTTCGGGCGGCGTCTTCCATGGGGGGGTTGAATGTGGACTTGGTGGATCGGGAGAGGGACGATGTCGAGGTGGAGGGCGGGCCTCTTTGGGTGGAGGCCCCCTACATGGTGGATGTGCAGATGTGACTTGGGGGGGGAGGGGGGGGGCGAGGGGGAATGGGGTGCGAGATGGGACGTCTTGTAGGGGATCCTGGTTGGGGTTTTTTTTCTTTATGGAGTATTTTTATGGGGCTTTTTATGGGTGTTGCGTTTGAGTTGTTTCTGGTGTCTTTCTTTCCCTTTTCCTTCTCCCTCTTTCCCTTTTCCTCTTTCTATCCATACGCGATATTGGTTGTACGTTAGAGGATGTTCGATGCGTTGCATGTGAGTAATCCAACCATCTTCTATGCATTATAGAATAACGTACGCGCTGGACCCGCCCTCTCTTCCTCCTCTAGTTCTGTGCTTCTTCAGAAGCGAACACACAGGTCACTCTGTCCAGAAGCGTAGCCGCCTCAAATCTGTTCTGGGACAGCTATTGATTTGCCAAGAGCGTGTGCAAGAGCCACACTGTTACGGTCCCAAGACATTTTTCCGTGTGACTGCTGCGTAGCCTGAGAATTCGGTGCCTCAGTTCAGTCGTTACGCCATCAAGCCGTCTGTAGCACGCCCGCCCTTGTGCCACCTTAGGAATGGCCGCATGGGTTTTCATGACGGCTCGAAGGACGTCGCCGGTAGGACGAACGGCTGGGCGCCTCTAGTCGATTCGCCTTTCGTCAGAGTAATCGGCGAGAACGGATCAGGCTGTGGTCGCTCTTCAACCACACACTCCGGTCATTCAGTACAATCACGTTCGTTACAAGGTCATATTCAACACTCGAATCCAACTCCCAGCTACGACAAGGCTTCCAAGGTCGGGTCTTTTGGAGTGAATCGTCGGGTGGGAAGCCGCGATAACCTCGATAAATCCACCACGCCGACTGCATTTGTCGCGAATTTGTGTAACCAGCAGGCCTGGTTCGCGAACTTCGCCAAGTATAGGAAACGCCTCGGAATCGTCGCAGCCATGGTCGCATGGGGTCGCAGTGCGACAGCAGCCGTGTTCGGGATAGGTAAAGGTCGGCATTCCCAAGGAGGTGCCGATGGTGGGAAAGGCGGGTTACCACTAACGTTTTCGGATAGCGATCGGTGGAAGACGAGCAATGGGTGCGGTTTCGCCGTGCTGGTAACCCGACGATGGGAGTCGCTGCTGGTGTGGGCGAGCAGTGGCGGAATTCGCTGGCTGGTCGCAGGCTTGGCTGTCGCTATCATGGTCTCCAAGGCCCTTGCCGTGTGGCTGCAATGGGTATGTGACTCTAACGATCTCCTAGCTGTCTTGTGGCTCTAGGCTTGGCTGTCGCGATCATGGTCTCCAAGGCCCTTGCTGTCTGGCTGCAGACGGTAGGTGACTCTAACGATCCCAAGCTCGCATGTGACCCTAGGCTTGGCTGTCGCTATCATGGTCTCCAAGGCCTTTGCCGTGTGGCTGCAAACGGTATGTGACACTAACGTGATTATACGGAGCAGGTGAAGGCCGAGGGGTTGAGGGGGTGAGGAGGGAGGGGAGAATGTGATAGTATCCTACATTGAATGTGTTACTGTATGTGCCATTGAGTGCAAATGCGCGTGTGATTGTATGTTACAGTCCTGGCGACTCGTATCCACATTTCTCACCCCTCCTCCGTTTATTCTCCCCTTCAGCTTCTTACTGGTCCATCCTCTTCCCGTACGCCCCCAACTCCCTTGTTGCTTGTTTTGACCCTACCTCCCTGCCACCTCCTCTCGCCTCTCTCCCCCCTCCTCTCTCCTCCTCTCCTCCTCTCCCTCCCTCCAAATCCCTCAAGCGTTCTTTTCCGATATTCCCCTTCTCCCATTCCTTCCCTCTCCACCTCAGCTTCTGATCAACCCCCCACGGCATCCTTCGGATCTGATTCCACCAACGACCCTCTCTTTTTCGAGAACCCTCGCCTTTGATCATGTCTAAAGCCAACTCTCTCCCAACCCTCCTCTATCTCTCGCCTTGCTTTTTCCCCCCTCAGCTGCTGATCGGCCCCACAGCATCCTTTGAATCAGTCACTGCCAACTTCCCCCTCTACTCCCAGGTGGCTTGCCTCTGACACGCCTTGAACAACCCTCCCCAACCCTCCACTGTCTCCTCCCATTCCCTCTCCCCTCTCAGCTGCTGATCGGCCCCACAGCATCCTTTGAATCAGACACCGCCAACTTCCCCCTCTACTCCGAGGTGGCTCGCCTCTGACACGCCTTCAACAACCCTCCCCAACCCTCCACTATCTCTTCTCTTCCCTTCTTCTCCCTCTCAGCTGCTGATCGGCCCCACAGCATCCTTTGAATCAGACACCGCCAACTTCCCCCTCTACTCCGAGGTTGCTCGCCTCTGACACGCCTTGAACAACCCTCCCCAACCCTCCACTATCTCTTCTCTTCCCTTCTTCTCCCTCTCAGCTGCTGATCGGCCCCACTGCATCCTTTGGATCAGACACCGCCAACTTCCCCCTCTACTCCGAGGTGGCTCGCCTCTGACACGCCTTGAACAACCCTCCCCAACCCTCCACTATCTCTTCTCTTCCCTTCTTCTCCCTCTCAGCTGCTGATCGGCCCCACAGCATCCTTTGAATCAGACACCGCCAACTTCCCCCTCTACTCCGAGGTGGCTCGTCGCCTCTGACACGCCTTGAACAACCCTCCCCAACCCTCCACTATCTCTTCTCTTCCCTTCTTCTCCCTCTCAGCTGCTGATCGGCCCCACTGCATCCTTTGGATCAGACACCGCCAACTTCCCCCTCTACTCCGAGGTGGCTCGATGGTATGCGAGCGGCGTCACGGCCGTGCTTGCACTCATCGCCAATAAGGTGGGTTGGTGAGTAGGAGTGTGTTTGTGTGTGTGTGTGTGTGTGTGTGTGTGTGTGTGTGTGTGCGCGTGTGTGTGTGTGTGTGTGTGTGTGTGTGTGTTGGTATGCCATGGCATGTGTGTGAATAACTCTCCCCTCTACTCCGATCCGAGGTGGCTCGCTGGTATGCAAGCGGGGTCGCGGCTGTTCTTGCACTCATCGCCACTAAGGTGGGCTGGTGAGTAGATGTGTTCAAGAGTGCAAGGCTAAGTATACTGGCATCGGCATCTCCGTGTTCTCATATGTGAGTCTTCTCCCCAAGCAGCAGCTTTTCCAACTCCCTCTCGTCCTCATCCTCCCCGCCCCTCCCCAAAGCAGCTCCTGGGTCGACCCATACTCTCGCCAGTCCCCATCTTCTCCCCTCTTTCATCTCCCCTCACCCTACCCCTGTGTCCCCCGTCCCCCCCTTCAAAGCAGCTCCTGGGTCGCCCCATACTGTCGCCAGTCTCTACCTTGAGTCAACTCTGAAGTTACTCCTCTCCCCATTGCACCCCCCCCCCTCAAAGCAGCTCCTGGGTCGCCCCATACTGTCGCCAGTCTCTACCTTGAGTCAACTCTGAAGTTACTCCTCTCCCCATTGCACCCCCCCCCCTCAAAGCAGCTCCTGGGTCGCCCCATACTGTCGCCAGTCTCTACCTTGAGTCAACTCTGAAGTTACTCCTCTCCCCATTGCACCCCCCCCCTCAAAGCAGCTCCTGGGTCGCCCCATACTGTCGCCAGTCTCTACCTTGAGTCAACTCTGAAGTTACTCCTCTCCCCATTGCACCCCCCCCCCTCAAAGCAGCTCCTGGGTCGGCCCATTCTCTCGCCAGTCCCAATCTACTCCTTTCTTTCATCTCCCCTCTCCTTACCCCTCTGTCCCCCGTCTCCCCCCCCCCCAATCAGCTCTTGGGTCGTCCCATACTATCGCCAGTCCCCATCTATTCCTTTGCTGGCGCTGGTGCTGCCATCACCATAACGGCAGTGTGCATCAGAGAGGTACAGTGCGGTTGAGAAGGGTGGATCAGAGAGCTGCTGTGCTGTTGAGAGAGGTGTATGAGGGAGAGAGATGACTGGGGGTTGTGCAGTGCGGTTGGGAGAGGTGGGTCAGGGAAGTGCTGTGCTATGGGGGGAGGTGGATGAGGGAGTAAAGTGCGGTTGAGAAGGATGAATCAGAGAGGTGTAGTGCGGTTGAAAGAGGTGGATCAGGAAGTGCTCTGCGGTTGAGGGAGGTGGATGCCGAACTGCTGCTGTGCTGCCACTGCCATCACAGGAGTGCGCATCAGAGTGGTGCAGTGCGTTTGAGAGAGATGGATGAGAGCTGAAGTATGGTTGACAGAGGTGGATGGGAAAATTGCTGATAGAGGTGGATCAGGGACGTACAGTGCAGCCGAGACAATACATGGCGGTGTGCTGCCCCTGCCATCACAACAGTGTGCTTCAGAGAGGTGCAGTTCGGTTGAGAGAGGTATACTGGCAAGGTACAGGTGTCTATACGCATCAGAGCAACCTGTTGGTGTTTTGTGTTGGTTGAACTTACGCCCACATCCCAACCAAACCCAAGAGTGATCAACCAAAATCTCCAACCCACCAATTGGGGGGATTTCAGTCGATCTCCTTGGGATCGCCCCGATTCCCTCCCCATCCATTCCTTGCTTATTTCAGATGAAGTTGAAGAGCATTACCAATGTATCAGCTCGAGCTCACGTTCTGACACACAATCTTCATCATCACCTAATCATTGCCATTGGCACACATCAGTGCATCATGCTTCAGTCCCCCCACCCCTATGTTCCCCCCACCTTGTCCCGTGGCAGTTGAACGGTTTCATTGGCATCGGAGCAACCTGCATGGTCTGCTCCTGCCTTTCCTTCCATGCATGTCGACGCACCCATACATGCGTTTCACTCCCCCCCCAACTCCCCTCCCCCGTCCATGTCGATCCCCATGGCAGCTCAACGGCCGCATTGGCATCGGAGGCACGTGCATGCTCTACACAATGTGCACTCTCTCACTCCTTGTAAGCCCCCATTCGTCCCCCACTCGTGCAAGCCAATGTTTGAGTCGATTCAATTCAAAGGCAACCTGTATAGTCTATGCCGTGTGCACTCTGTCACTGATCAAAAGCCCTCACTCCTCCCCCACTCGTACAAACCCATTCGTCTGTCTGTCACTCCTTGATAGCTCCCATTCGTCTTGAGACGTCTCAAAGCCTGTATGGTCCATGCCTTGTGCACTTTGTCACAAGCTGGTAATTCCAAACCTCTTCCACCCTTGCAAACCATTCCTATCCTTCTCATGTAAGCCGGCTTGTGAGTCTACTTGAAAGCAACGTGCATGGTCTACGCTTTTGCACTCAGGCACTCCTTGTAAGCCCTCATTCTTCTTTGACTCGTCTGTGGCCGTTCGCCTCTACTTGTCCGAGCCAACGTTTGATCCGACTTATTAGCAATGTGCTCTAAACCCCTGTGCAACTTTTTTACCACTTATAAGCCCATTCCCTCCTGTTAAACTCCCTCTGCCTGCTGGCAGCATATGCAATCTATACCCAATGAGGTGCCCATCCCCCCTGGTAGCGGTGGCATGGCGGCAGCATCAAGCCTTGTCTCAAAATATTCCTCTCGCTTTTCCCTCCCTACTGCACATCTCCCCTCCCAGAACTGGCAGTTGATACTGAGCGGGGCGCCTGTGCTGGTGGGTTCCTGCAGTGGCTCCTCTCCCGTCTCCACTAGTGGGTTGGCATGGCCAGGGGTGCAGTCCTCTCCAATTCTCTTCTTTCTTACGCTCTGTTTTTCTCTGCAGCTCTGGCAGTCGATACTGAGAGGGACACCCATGCTCTTGGGCTCCTGCAACGGGTCCTTCTCGTGGCAGCAGTGGGTTGCCATGGAGTGCTCAGCGCACACTGCAGTGACTCAACCCCTTCCTGCCTTGTCCCTAACCTCTCTTCTCTTACCGACTCCCTTCCACCTCTGGCAGTCGATATTGAGTGGCGCGCCCATGCTGCTGGGCTCCTGCAGCGGTTCTTCCCCCGTGGCAGCGGCACCTCTCCCAGTGCCAGCGGTGGGACGTGAAGTGCGAACTCCACTGACTCAGCCCCCCCTTGCCTTGTCCCCTCTCCTCTCTTACTTGACCTTTCGCAGTTCTGGCAGTCAATATGAGTGGCGCGCCCATGCTCGTGGGCTCATGCAGGGTCTTCCCCCGTGGCAGACGTGGGACCTGAAGTGCACACTCCACTGACTCAGCCCCTCCTTGCCTTGTCCCCTCTCTGCAGCTCTGGCAGTCGATACTGAATGGCGCGCCCATGCTGGTGGGCTCCTGCAGCGGGTCCTCCCCCGTGGCAGCAGTGGCATGGCGGCGAGTGCACTGGCTGCGGCTGCTGGGGTGTCTGCTCGCCTGCTTGCTCGCCTACAGCTGCTGGGTGGGTGTGAGGGAGGGAGGGAGCGAGGGAGGGAGGGAGGGAGGGAGGGAGGGAGGGAGGGAGGGGGGGAGGGAGGGAGGGAGGGAGGGGGGAGGGAGGGAGGGAGGGAGGGAGGGAAGGAGGGAGGGAAGGAGGGAGGGAGGAGGGAGGGAAGGAGGGAGGGAAGGGGGAGGAGGAGGGAGAGTGAGTGGGAAGTGAGTGAGGTAGTGAGTAGAGTGAGGGACTGGGTGAGGAAGTGAGTTAGGAGTGAGTGAGGGAGTAACTGTGGTCTTGAGGGAGTGAGGGTTACCCAGTGAATGAGGGTGGGTGAGGGAGTGAGGGAATTCCGCCTTGAATGAGGTGGGGAGTGAGTGAGTGAGGGCCTTACGCAGTGAATGAGGGTGGGAATGAGGAGTGACCCTAGTAGCAGCCGTGGTGTAGCGGCGAGTGCACTGGTCGCGTGGGGACTAACCTCTCCCCTTTCCTCCCCGCCCCTCCCGTCCCTTGTCCCACCAGCTCTGGTTCCCCCCGGCATCAGAGGCAGCGCGCGTGCTGCTGCCCTCAGCCACGCCGCTCTACCTCTGGCCGCCTGCCAGCATGGGCGTGCGCTACTGGTGGTGGATAGGACCCCTAGCCGTGCCCATATTCACCTTCCTCTTATTCTGGTGCGTGCTGCCACTACTGGTGCTTGTACCTCCAAACATGGCTGCCTGCCAGCATGGGTGTGCGCTACTGGTGGTGGATCGGACCACTAGCCGTGCCCATATTCGCCTTCCTCTTATTCTGGTGCGTGCTGCCATCTCTATTGGTGTTGATGCCTCTTCAAACACGGCTACCTGCCAGCATGGGTGTGCAGGCCCAATCCACCACCATATTCGCCTTCCTCTTATTCTGGTACGTGCTGCCACTACTGGTTCCTGTCACATTCGCCGCCACACCACTTTCTCTACCTCTGGCCGCCTGCCAGCATGGGGGTGCACTACTGGTGGTGGATCGGACCCCTAGCAGTGCCGATGTTCGCATTCCTCTTATTCCGGTACGTGCTGTCGCTATTGGTGTTGATGCCTCTTCAAATCAAACCTGACATCCTCTCAGCATGGCCATGAGTGCGCTACCGGTGGTGGATCGTGTCCTTATCCATGCCCACTTTCACATTACTCGTACTCTAGTGATAGGGACCCCCTTGCATTCCCGCCTTCACTGTCCCTTACTCTTGCATTCCATTTGTTCTGGTGGTGCAAGAGTAAGCGTTGCATGCAACTGCAGCAGGCAGCCTGTCTGCTTGAGGAACAAACCATCAAGCCACTGCACTGGTGCCACTGGTGGTGATGGCGGATCAAATCAAATCAGCCCATCAAGCCCTTGCTACGCGAATCTTTGCAGTCCACTTGTGGCATGTGCTCTGGTAGAAGCATCGCAAGGGCGACAGGCACGCGCATCTAACTTGCTGCTCCTCTCTTCTCCTTCTCACTAACCCCTCCATCCCTGTCCCCCTTCTCTGCAGCTCGTACGGGCAGATGACCTGCCTGTCTCATCCACAGCACCCATTGCATTTCTCTAATGGTCCTTCATTAAATAAGCGTGATAAATACAGCGTCCCCCCATCTTTTCCCTGTCTCTCAACTTCTCTCCCCCCAGCTCTGACGGCCTAGCAGTGGCGCTGCAGGAGAGAGTATACCTGCAGTACGACCTGCCTGTCACCTCCCTGGTGCTCTATGTCTCCACGTCCGCCTTTCTCCCCATGACTTCCCACACTCTCCCCCAGCTCTGACGGCCTAGCAGTGGCACTGCAGGAGCGAGTCTTTCTGCAGTACGACCTGCCTGTCACCTCCCTGGTGCTCTATGTTTCCACGTCCGCTTTATTCGTCGACTTCTGGGGTAAGTACCCCCATGTCCGCTTTGGGTAAACCACCCTTGTTTTCGACCAGCATTCCGCCAGTCTGCAATCATCATCACCTCCCTTTTGCCTTCCCCCTTCCCACCTTTCTCTCCCCAACGTCCCCTTCTCGGCTACTTCTTCTCAAAGCTCTTCCCCCACCCTGGCTCTCCAAATGCACCAACCCCGAATGCCAGCATGGACAACCATTCTGAACACTCTTCCTCCGTTTCCCCCCACCCTGACCCCTCCACTTGCTCCAGCCCCCTCCCATGCACCAACGCTCATATGCCAGCGTTTGCCTTCAGCAGTCACTTCGACCGCGCCTTTAGCTTCGTCTTTGACTGCCCGCAGCAAAACCCCACA